CGGCTCCGCTGCCGCGCTGCCTTCCCGCGCCCGCCCGGCCCAGCGCGGGGGCTGGTCGCGCTTAGCGGGCGGAGAGGGCAGGGCAGAGCCGGCCGGGCCCGCGGCCGCGCGGGGAACAATGAGGCGGGAAGCGGCTGCCGCGGCTCGCGTGCCGTGAGGAGCGGAGCCGCGCTCCGGGAGGAGGAGGATGCGTGCGTGGATGTGAGCCGTCCCTCGGCGCCTCGCCGGGTGCCGTGCCATGGACGCCGGCCGCCGGCGGGGAGCGCAGCCGGAGCCCAGCCTGACCCCGCCGCAGAGCGGGGTGTGACACCGGAGCGTTTTTTTTTTTTTTAAATCACTATTTATTTATTTCATTATTTTTTAAAAACCGGGTTGCAGTGGATTGTGGCTCTGCGTTTCCAGCCGCCCGCGTCTCTCCATTCATCCATCCATCCATCCATTCATCCGTCGGTCCATCTGGGCGCCGATGCCCGCCGCTGCCTGAAGGGCAGAGCCATCATGTACCTCCTGGACAGCAGCGAGCCGCCGGCCGCCGCCTCCTCGCCCGAGAGGATGCAGCGGGGCACCCCGCAGAGGAAGACGGTGTACCGCATCTCCGTGACCATGGTGAAGAAGGAGCTGCTGGGGCCGGAGAGCGGCCGCGCCGGCCCCGAGCTGCCCCGGCGCGGGCGGAGCCGCCCGCCGGGCTCCTCCAGCCTCACCAGGGCCGGGCTGCTGCTGCTGGAGGAGGAGGAGGGCGAGGAGGAAGGCGAGGAGCGGGACAGGGTCCCCAGCCCCTGCGGCTTCCGCACCTTCCGGACGCTGAGCACGGGGCAGCTGGAGCTGGGCCGCCTCAAGGTGCCCCGGAGAGCGGGGCCGCCCCTGCCCGGGGCGCCGCGGGGCAGCGCCGGGCCCGGAGAAGCCGCGGCCGCCGCCGCATCCCCGCCCGGCGAGGAGGGGGACAAGGCCGGGGAGGCGGCCCCGGGGGAGCGGGGCCACAGCCCGCGGCGGCAGTCGGGGCTGCTGCGGCGCAGCTTCAGCTTCAGGCACTGGAGCGGCGGCGGCGGCGCGGAGCCGGGCCGGGTGCGGCGGCACAGCAGCTCCGGCTGCCTGCCCGGGCCGCCGCCGCCCTCGCCGCCCGCCGCGCTGCCCGCCGAGCCCCCCGAGAAGCGCAACACGCTGGACGTGGGCGAGGTGCTGAGCCAGGCGGAGCCGCTGTCGCGGCTGGAGCGCTGGGAGCGCAGCAAGAGCAAGAACCGGACCCTGGATAACAGCGACCTGCAGCGGCTCTCGGAGCGGCTGGGCCGGGAGGGCCCCGCCGCCGGCGCCGAGCACCGGCTCCTGCGCTTCTTCAGCGGCATCTTCGCCCGCAGGGACGGCCCCGCCGCCCTCTTCGGCAGCCCCCACGGGCGCTCCCCCCGCAGCAGCTTCTCCAGGTCCAGGGCTTACTTTAGCAGCCTCAGGAGAGCCGCCGTGGACATGCAGTCCAGCTCCGAGAGCATCAACGGGTCCCCCCAGAAAGGTGCCCGTCCTTGTCTCCTCTGGGTGGCTCGGCGGCCGGGCTGGGGATGGACGGTGGGGTCAAGGGGCTGCTGGGTGTGAGGAGAGGGAGATGCTGCACTGGGGTACATCAGGGTGGGCAGGCCCTGGCACAGGGTGCCCAGAGCAGCTCTGGCTGCTCCTGGATCCCTGGAAGTGTCCAAAGCCAGGTTGGATGGAGCTTGGAGCAACGTAGGGTAGTGGAAGTTGTCCCTGCCCATGGCATGTCTAGGAAGGAGATGATGTTTAAGGCTCCTTCCAGTCCAAACTGTTCCTAATTCTATGGATACAGCGTGCTTTGAAGTACATGGTAGTGCAGCTCTGCAGAGTGCAGGTCAGGCTGTGTGTCCTCCTGAACCCAAAATCCCTCTCTGGGGTGATTGGCCGTGCATTCTAGGACAGATGAGTGAGGCAAATGTCGCTTGTTTAATTATGGAATAGAAGCTGGTCTGGAGTGCTGCTGTATATAGGTCACTGGGTGGCCCAGTGCTGCACAGCACTGGGACTTTCTCCTTTTGGAGAGACTTCTGTAACCTGAAGGATGGGTTATGTTGGTTAGAAATGGGCACTGCTGGAGAAGTGAGTGAATACTGGTGCAAATGTCTCATAAATCCTAAACGTTCATTGTAATAAAAGAGCTTGAAATGAGTTAGGTATTTTTGAAAATCACACTACAGACTCAGAAGCCGCACTCTTTGAATTATTATATTATTTGAGTAATTTTATATGGCTGTGTACAAATTAGTAAGAGCGTTTCTAGTCTAGGTGGAAATCAGATAGGGAATTCTGGGGGTTTGTGAGTCCCTCAGATACAAGAAAAACTTGACTAAGAACCTTGCTGTGGGATGGAGGTACCTCGCTGTGGGACGGCAGGGAAGAGCTGACGAGCTGCTTTCTGTGAGGATCTGCAAGCATCCCGGTATCGCTGGCTGGGACGTGTCAAACCAGAAATGCTGGTTGTGGAGCTTCGGTGTGAGACAGTGCTTTCTTCCAGCTGTGCTTTCAGATCTTTAATAAGTATCTGTGATGAAACATTTAACCAGCAATTACAGTCGCCTTTGAGCACCAAGTGCTTATCAGGTGGCAAATGATCTCTGAGTTGCTGCTTTTCTGAAAATACAATTCTCAATGAGATTAAGCTTTCATAGAGGCCCAGGTACAGCAGAGGATGGTGTGGAGCTGGGCCCAGGTGGTTTATTGGGGAAAGCAATAACCAGCTGCCAGCCCCTTCCATATCCAGAGCTCCTGCTGCGAGTGGAGCGTGCCCAGAGTTTGAGGCACGAGGAGCAGAGCCAAATATTTAGACCTAGTAACTGAGGACTGTAAGGTTTTATTGATGTAGAGGCATTCATGTGGGCTTAGGATAATCTTGACGGAAATTGTGGTCTGACCTTGGTTAAAGTTCAAGGTAACCACAAGAGCAAATTACTTCATTGGGCTGTCTGTGCCTGTCCTGTGCCAGCACACTCCAGCTCCTGCTCTCCTCATGTCCTGGGAGCACAGTCCTCCCCGCCTGGGAGGAGACCTCAGTTAATCAATAACTCTGGGTACACAGCACTGAGATGTTCCAGAGAGGCTCCTCCTGTGCGTGCCACTACCAAATCTGTGCTGCAGTGAAGCCTTGAGGTTTGTTCTGCGCTGAATGTGTCCCAGCGGTGTGGCTGCAGCAGGCAGCAGTGTGGCAGCCTTGTGTCATGGGTTAGCAGGCCTGGTGTGCTCTGTTTCCTTCCCTTTTTCCATAAATTGCAGCTTTTGTGCACACCTCCAGCTGCTGCTCGTTGGTGACCGTTAGCAAGCTGAACCTGAACTAATTTGTCTTTAATTTCTCCTACTATATGTTAAGAACTATATTTAATTAGTTATTACTAATTAGCATGCCAAATATATTTAAATATTTTAAGGTTGGAACAAGCTGCTGTTCGGCCAGAACTTTTTTTTTTGCTTCTTTTAGTTGCTGTGGAGTTGGTGTGCTCCTGACAGTCCTGTGCACAGATTCTGGAGTAACTGCAGACACCCAGGTGGAACCTTAATTTCAGTGTGGGTTTTATTCCCAGAAACTTGAAGAAATTCTTGGCTGTGAGAGTGGGGAGGCCCTGGCACAGGGTGCCCAGAGCAGAGCTGCCCTTTGGAAGTGTCCCAGGCCAGGTTGGACGGGGCTTGGAGCTGCCTGGGACAGTGGAAGGGTGGGATGAGATGGGATTTAAGGTCTCTCCCAACCCAAACCAGGCTGGGATTTTATCATTCTACACTTGTTTCCCTTATGGCCTTGGTATTCTCTGTGTTTGGTGCTATGCATGAGTTATTTGGTTTTTTACTTGCAACAAAAAGCCCACCCAGGGTTTTTAAGAGTAGAAGTTAAAAAAAAATCAGCTTGTTGGCATTTTTAGCTTGAAATATTCACCTGGGTACTGCAATATCTGCTTGGATGGTATTTCCTGAAAAGAAATACCACAGTCAGGTACAACATAGTTTTGGACAAGTTTTTAAGTAGAAGAGTCAAGAATTTTTAAATCTACATGTTTTTGATGTTACTGAGTCTGATTTAGGCTATGGAGTCTGTGGAGGTTGATTTTTGGCTGGGACCAGTCTGTAGTCTCTCAGTAGTTATTCGTGCTGTCACTAAAGACCCTTGAGCATCAACTTTTCCTTTTCTACCTGCAAACCCCATTTGCTCTGATATTGTTGGCCTCAAATCCTATGCAAGTAACAATTCCCAAAACTCTTGCAAGGGGAAGCAGGGGATCCATTTATTTGGAGGAAGAAAGGTTTTCTGTATGCATGACCACTATCCCCAAAGGCGGAAAGAGAAACTTCCATAAACTTCAAGCCAGAGGAGTTATTTTTTTGCCTTAAACCATTTAGAAAAAGGGGAATGCCATTCCTCATCTAAACTTTTTTCTCCTTGAAGTTTTCATTATTCTTTCCTGGTGAGAGGAACTCTTGCTGCTCTGGAGGAAGAGGAGGAGGAGGATGGCTCTGAGGCTGAGGGCGTGGGGGGTGGTGGTAAAATAGTTCCTTTTTCAGTGGTTCTCACTTGTTGCTTTTATTTTGAGATAAGTTTGTTTGAATAACCTCTCTTTAGGATACACTAAGCAGATTTGGGTATCAAAATTGTTGACTATCAAAAAGAGTATCATTATAATATAATAAACTGCTCTTTTGAGGTTTTTTCCCCCGAGGTTTTAGAGGAGTTAGTTTTAAGCTCTTATCTCAAATTCTCTGCAGCTTAGAGTCGTGGGAAGCAGGGGGAAGCTGCTGAGTGATCTCTGTTGGAGGCCTCCAGCCTTTTCCTTGCGAAGCTTCACTTGAGATAATTCCTGTTAGTTCTGTGTCATCTCCTTGCTGCCCTGGCCGCTGCTGTGCTGTGCTGCTGGCGTTCCCAGGGCAGCCTGATGTGCACGGGTGGGTGGGCACAGACCTGGAGCACATGGGATTTCAGCAGGGGGATGCACATGCACTGGAACTGGTCCTGTGTGCCTCCCTGGGATGTAGCTGCGGGTTCTTGGGGCTGTGCTGGCATAAGCATAATCTTTTTCAGCACTGGAGAGTCCCTGATTTCATGAAGTAAATGCCTCCTAGCACTCTTTCAGCTGTTTCAGTTCTTGTGAGTGTTGTCTAGAGGTTGTTATGAAAATAAAACCCAGCAGATAAATGGATTGTAGTTGGGGTCAAGCATTCTCAAGCATTGTCTAAGAGGGTTTTTTAAATTATTATTTATTGGGTAGGTCTTGTGTTGAGCAAAATGAATGCCAGCTGCACTGATAGAGCCAGGTGATTAAGAACTGAACTGGTATTAAGGTCACTGGCTGAATTAGAGAATGAGATGGATTAATGTGTGCACAATATTGAAGGATGTGCCAGCTGCTAGCAGCCGTGGTCTTTGTTTTTCTCTTAAAATTGAAAAGAAATGTAGAATTTTAATGCCTCTGCTATAAACTTGACAGTTAAATGCCTTATGGCAGTAATGGGTAACTTTGTTGGGGCAGATCACTGAATATTTCTGCAAAGTGTTGTGCAGGCATTCATCTCCATTCCCTCCCAAATGGAGCTCTGTAAATTGAATTAATGCTCTGTTGTTTTGCCAGAGATCTGCCTGTTCCTTGGTTTACCACTCCAGGTAACAATGTGTTTATCTAACAAAGCTCATGCGGATGACCAAAGCACAACTTGCACAAGGAAAAGAAACATTCAGAACACGATATTCCCTTTCCTTTCCTCCCAATTCCTTGCCTGGAGCCTGAGGTTGCTGAGTGTGAGGAGAAGCCCGGTGCCAGCTCCTGCCCTTGGCTCACAGCAGCTGCAGCCTCGGGGAAGGGTGGCTGGAAGGGCTCCTTAAGGAAAGGAGCAGCTGGAAGGGTCCCAGGTGGGCAGGAGCTGCCAGGCTGTGCCAGCCGTGGTGTGACACAGCCCAGGACAGGGATTGTCCCCAGGCTGGCCCTGCTGAGGCCCCTCCAGAGTCGTGTCCAGCCCTGGGCCCTCCAGCCAGAGGGACTGGGGAATGTCCAGGGAAGGGAATGGAGCCCCAGGAGGGGCTGAGGGAGCTGGGAAGGGGCTCAGCCTGGAGAAAAGGAGGCTCAGGAGGGACCTTGTGGCTCTGCACAACTCCTGACAGGAGGGGACAGCCGGGGGGTCGGGCTGTGCTCCAGGGACAGGGACAGGAGCAGAGGGAACGGCCTCAGGGCAGGCTCAGGGTGGACAGCAGCAGGAATTTCTCCATGAAAAGGTGGTCAGGTATTGAAGGGGCTGCCCAGGGAGGTGATGGAGTGCCCATCCCTGGAGGTGTCTAGGGAATGCCTGGACGTGGCACTGGCCTCTGGGCTGGGGACAAGGTGGGGATCAGTCACAGGTTCAACTCGGTGGCCTTGGAGGGCTTTTCCAGCCTAAAGGATTCCGTGATTCTAAGGAGCATGGGCTTGCTCTGGAACTCTTTGCTCCTCCTGGTAGTTTACAGTTGCTGGTTTTTCAGAGGTGGAGTCTGTATGT